CTTTCGAAAGCAAATTTCTGCTAATTAGGTATTTGGAACTACTTACGTGCAAGTAGGGCGGTATTAGTGCTGATATCGATTTGACGATAATTTTTCGCTTTTATCTTCAGCGGGTATACTGTTATGTATGTTACCTGAAATAACAGTACGTACTTGTGTTCATTTATTTTTTTTTGGGACTAGTCCGCAACAACCTCCTAAACAGCCAGTAACGTAGATACAACCATGACAATATCGGAACACTGAAATCTGGCGCGTCTCAAGGACATGAATTATCTGGATCTCGCAATAACACAAATCAGATGATATTATTTGACGAGAAGAAAAACATGAATTGGTATGTAAGTATCTAACTAAGTAACTAACTATTATATACTAAGTGTAAAGTAACATCCATTTTTACTAATGGCGTATAAAAGATGATGAGCGCGAAAAAAAAATTTTTTTTTGGTTTTCCTGCGTCACACCCGCGACCTCTTAACCAACGGAACAATCACTTAAAAGGCATTAAATATTAATAGGTACATAAAACGCAATATTAACTAAATACTGTTTATTATCGGAATCCACAAATTAATTGTCTTTATTTTTTTCTAGAAGAGTAACGATGGAGTCTTTTTCTCATTTTTCTCCATTCGAAACTGCACTTTGGAACGAACTACTAGCTTCACAGACAGACAGACTGACGGACATTTCAATATTGACATTTCAAACGTGCCTATTTAATAGTATTATTGTGATACAGGATATTCTTCCTAGTACAGGCATTCAAACCTAGTGAGATCTCTGATTTTAAATTAAGATGCTTATCTGTACTATGACCAATTTCTTATAATGAATAAAGATTTATTATTATTTATTATTATTATTAATTGAAATATTATGAGATTAATTAAAGTACTTACATCATGTCCAGCTTCCAGCAGATGCCTGACCGCTCCTTGTCCCAAAATACTCAAACTCTTTACGGGTAAAGGGAAACATACCAATACTTTTAAACCTTCCACATTAGATAAAAAATATATTAAACTTAATAATATCGACCACTTCATTATAACACACTTGGTAATTTTCGATAAGGTTAAATTTTTTATTTGATTATAAATGTATGAAACACAAACACGTCCAATGCGTGTCGACGCTAAGACGGTAGTATGATCTTCTTATGCAATTATTTTTGCAGGAAGCGATCTCTATTAGTCGACAGTATGGTACACAGAAAAATAACACAAAAAAACAAACTGCTATTAAACTAGTTATTCAAACATTTGCTTGTGGACTTGTTGACAGTGTTGCCTAAACTAATAATGGTTCTAAAATAAATTGTTAGTCTAAATGTAAATAAAATTTATTTCTGTTTATTAGAGCATAACAGGTCTTACCAATTATTATCGCATGCACGAAAATAAGTTGCGAACACACATGGACATACAAAACTTAGTTAATTACTCAAATTATAATAACATGTTTTTCTTATTCCATTTTTTTTAATTGACCTATATTTCATAAAATAGTCACGGTACACCATTATTCTGTCAATACCTGATTGTATTAATTTACTGATGTTTTTGTTGATGGTACTAAAATATCACAACGATACACAACACAAACGTAGAGTACAAAACAAATTAGCTTTTATCCAACATCGTATACTCATAAAATCGTGTATTTTTCCGTTTTCATAGGCAAATAGTGCTATCTACTCTTTCAGAAATCGACGTACTTACCTACTACATTGTTTTATGTACTAGTAGTTGTATATTTATATGTATTTTAGTCGAATACATGTTACTACTAACATAACATCACCCCTTTTATCCCCAAAGGGGTAGGCAGAGGTGCACATTATGCCACTGTACAATGTATTACTACTACTACTTTTTATTCGTGTTACTACTACTTTTTAAACTTCTTTGAGGTCTTAACTCAAATTTCGATTGTATTTAAGTTTTCAATGTCATTTTTTATAGCTATTTAGTATGAGAAATTTTTAAACTGTAGCACTAATTTTAAGACAGCTTAACTGTTTAGGCTTTAGGGCCTAAAACGGACATACATTGAATAAAATATAACTATAACGTTCTAGAAACTTAGATTTAGTTTTTGTCACTCGAAAAACCGATGACGCGTAATCAGATTTATCTACAAAAACTCATTACTTGTATAATCACATATAATTTGGAATACGATGTTAGACAAACACAAAACATGCAATCACACTTAAAATCTATCTGATTACCATTTTGTTTTTTTTTTTTTAATCTTTGTCCCACACTAGGATTTTCTCCTGTGTCGTGGGTGCGTTTAGAAACATACTATATCACATACACATAACACCCAGACCTGTAACAACAATCTGTGGATCACAGAAAGAGTTGTGCCGTGCGGGAATCGAACCCGCGACACGTTGCGTGGCAGCCAATTGTCCAGCCACCGTGCCAATCGTGTAGTCATAACCATGGGCCTCAACGAACTTTAAAGGGCGTCTGGAACAACGACAGTCGAATACATTCGAAGTAATAAGTTTGTACGTAATTTTGTTCACTTTCTATCTGTACCCTTCTAGGGACAAAAGCACTCGAGAGGAATTATTTACAAATATTGAACTGAATAATTTGCGGTTAAAAAAGATAAAGATAAGTTTAAATTTTTATTTTCATTTAAATATAATTAGACTTATATGCTAGTGCTCCAAAAATATTTTTGCATAATTTGTGCACAGATATGCAGCATGCAACCGCGAAATTTATTTTGTTTTCGTCTCGAATTAAAATGGTTATGTCTTTGAAATTTAATAGTTTTATTAAGAAACTGCCTCGTTGGCCGAGTGGTCACAAGCGCGATTGCCGTGTAAGGTCTCGGGTATGATTCCCGGGCCGGGCAAAGTATTACTGGGTTTTTATAAAAATATCAGTGGTAGAAATGTGCCCAGTATATGGAAATAGGCTCATATGCATATTACATGGGACTCATAACATAAAATAGTAAAAAGTGGGTGTTACATTGTACATTGGCATTAAGTGCGCTATATGGAGTACCTCTGCTTACCCCTTCGAGGATAAAAGGCGTGATGTAATGTTTATGTAAAATGTTTAAAACAAAAATGGGGGATCATTGCAAAAAGCAGACTTCAAAAGCGCATACGAACTCATTGTACATTATCAAATTACATCATGCCATGTTATTCTTGAAGAGTTATTTCTCGTCAGGTGAGACGTGCGATGCGGATAGTGACTACAAATTAACGTCAAGTGTTTTGTGTGCGTGATTTCATGAATATGTTTTTAAACTAGAAAAAATTACATGTTTAAACTGTCAAATACCAAGCGGTCACCGGTGACCGCAACCTATTGTTCTATAATTGTGTCTGCAAAACCGGTACTCGACGAGTTAACATAACACAACATCACGGCTTTTATCTCCGAAGGGGAAGGCAGAGGTGCACATTATGTCACTGTACAATGTAACACTCACTTTTCACTATTTATGTTATGAGTCCCATGTAATAGGGAGTGAGCCTATTGCCATATACCGGGCACAATTCCAGACTCCGAGCTACTACTGAGAATTTTATTAAAACCCAATAATACTTTGCCCATTGCCCGGTAGTCGCACTTGCGACCACTCGGCCAACGAGGCAGTCGTGTTTACTTTTTTGTTTTTACTTCCACATCAAAAGTAATTACTTTGGATTTGGATTATTATATGAATTCATATGGCAAGTTGTTTTGCTCTGGGACAAAAACAAAATAGATTTCATCCAACAATGTTGGATAGACAATTTCCAACATTTAAAATTAATTACTTTTTTTCTTGTCATTTCTTTTTCCATTTTTGTTGTTGCAGAGTCTAATTAGAAGAAAAATGATTGAAAATGTAATAATCAGGATTATTGCTAAAAGATCTAGATAAAGACGTTGATATAAAGGTACGTGGAGGGCTGGAGAGCGCAGGTGAAGGGCGCCGCGTGTGCGCACTACGTGTTCTACCCAGTACACGAGAGCAGGACCTGGTTTCGTCAAACGATCATGATAGAGGTCCGACAGTTCTTTGACCTGCTTGGCATAACTAAAACAGATATTAAGAATATTAATTATGGGCTTGTTACATAAAAAACCAAGGCAGAATTTGCCATAAAAGTTATAAAAAGTGGTACGTACCGATCGTCACTCAACATCGTATTAATAGCAGGTTTCAAGTCTCTAGGTAAATTTTGAGATAGCGGCACTCTTAAAGCATACCCATTTTGAGCAGCCTTATGGATATTGGTAAACTGATCGAAGAACACTGGTATTCCTATGATTGGCTTTCCAAAGTGAATGGCTTCTAGAGAAGAGAGCTGACCTCCATGTGAGATGAACATTTTGACGTTTGGATGAGCTGAAAGACAAGTGATATTCTTGTGAGTATTTTACAGAGGTGTTACATCCCTCGTATGTGTTGTACAAAGGTATTTTGGGTATTGTCCTAAACTAATCATGTTCCATAAATGTGTGTAGCATGTTTGGATAAAAGTTAACTGAGTTCCAGTGGCATTTTTTTAATTAAATAAAAATAATTTAACTCGTCGAGCACCGTTATTATAGATACAATTAAAGAACAATAGGTTGCGGTCACCGGTGACCGCTTGGTGTTTGACAGTTTAATCAATAAAATTTACCTAAAATACTCGGCTGTGGAGCCCAATTTACAATGTGAACGTTCTTCGGGACACCTTGTAAACTATTATCTTCGAATTTCCAAATAACTGTTTGTTTAAATTCTCCGAACATCTGGAGCAAATCCATGACCAGTTTCCTTGGCATAGAATTACTTTTCAAAACTGATCCCATACTGAAATATATGACGCCATGCTTCGAATTGTCTATGAGGTCTTGAAGATCCTGAAAAATCAGTTAAAATGTTATTCTTGTTTTAGATTTGATCACTAGCGAAAGGGTGACAAATTATTCCGTGGGGTGGCTTCAGGTTTTTCCTCCATAGGTCCCTTATTATCAATATTATTGGGTATTCGAGGCGACGAATTTCTGGTAAAGGTAGACCTCTTCACGGAAGGAGTCTTCCAATTCAAAGGAATTCGACCACGAAGGTTTCACAAATCACGATATCGACTTCATCATGTCAAAAAACATCTTCAACACCTTTGACTTTACTTACTTTATGCTTTTCAGTAATAACAAAAGTAGACGTTGAGCGTCTAATAAGCTGAATACTTAATTTTACCTTAGGCAGTGGCTTTACAGGCTCCTCAATATGGAATCCACCAATATACTTAAAGTTTTGAGGAGTACTCGCTCGGTTGCGTGTAGCGTCATGCTCATTCGCGAATATCAGTGAAGCGTTGTACATAACATCTTCATAATCTGGAAGCGGTCTTCCACGTTTAGCCAGCAGAGGACCAAAGACTTCCTCGTAGATGCTGCGTTCCTCAGGTTGAGTGTAGAATCTATCACGCAATAATAAAGAATAGGTTTGTAAAGAATCTAAATAATACATGTTTTATATGTATAATTATTTTACACACATACGTTTTGAGGTATTGCCAATAAATCCTCGACCACAGTTCTTCCGCTCTTTGTGTAAATGTGAGTGGAGGCATGTTTGGTGATAAGTAATCTGGGTCGTAAGCAGGGTTCGAGGCGACATCTATCAGTCGCAGTACTTGCCAGTGTGCCCCCATAGAGTAGAGCCATACCATGGGGCAGTTGTATAAGACCGCCAATCTGAAAATTAAAGTATGTAATTGTGTTAAGTCATTCATAAAGTTATTTCTCTCCATATTTGTTTCTTTGTCTCTGGCTAAATATTATTGATATTACATACATACATAACATCACGCATTTTATCCCCGAAGGGGTAGGGCACAGGTTCACATTACGGCACGTAATACCACTGTATAATGTAACACCCACTTTTCACTATTTATGTTATGAGTCCCATGTAATAGGGGGTGAGCCTATTGCCATATACCGGGCACATATCCAGACTCCGTACTACTACTGAGGTTTTTACAAACCCAGTAATACTTTGCCCGACCCGGGAATCGAACCCGAGGCCCCTTGCCCGGCAGTTGCACTTGCTACCACTCGGCCAATGAGGCAGTTATTATTGATATTGTAACCAAAAAAGCGACACTTGCTGAATTTCTGTAAATTTTCATAATTTAAAAATACCTTTTGGCTTTATTGGCTGCCTTGTTGGTCAATGTGGTTACAAGCATGGCTGTTGCGAAAAAGGTTTCGGTTCCGACATGTAGGTCAGGTAAATTACTCCCGTCATCAGAAAAAGGTCAGGTACGTTAATATAAGGTTTTGTCGGTTTTAGAAAACTGTGTTGAAATTCACTGTGTTGACTGCCTCGTTGGCCGAGTGGTCGCAATTGCGACTGCCGGGCAAGGGGTCTCGAGTTCGATTCCCGAGACGGGCAAAATACTACTGGGTTTTTGAAAAATTCTCAGTAGTAACACGGAGTGTGGAATTGTGCCCGGTATATGGCAATAGGCTCACTACCTATTACATGGGACTCATAACATAAATAGTGAAAAGTGGGTGTTACATTATACAGTGGTTATAATGTGCACCTTTGCCTACCCCTTCGGGAATAAAAGGCGTGATGTTATGTTGAAATTCAGAAATTAAAATACTATTATGTTATACCATTTTACTTACCCAGCATACACTTCTGATTCGATCAAGTCTGTAATGATAACGTCAAAATGCTCATTAGGGTCTTCTAGTAGTTTTTTCACATTTTCATGGTTGAGAGTCATTTTTAGGGCTTCTACAGCAAACTCTTGTACTTGATTTGGAGGGTTTCTTTCCAGTTTGTGATTAAGAATGTATTCCATTGTCAATGATTCATCACCTGGAAATATACATACCTCTATAATATATTGGTTATCACATAAAAATGTTTTAATAGGGCAGATGATTAATTTATTTTAATGTCCGTCTGATAGATTATTTTAAAACATTACATACATATTTTTAATTTTCTTATAGAAACGAATACTTTCGACGATATATTGATTTAAAATGTCTCTTGACGTCACTTCTATCTACATTTTATACGTAGAAATGACGTTTTAGCCCCCGCTCCTAAACTTTGATTCGTTTTCTCTAAGTATTGTTTTATTATACGACAAAATAAAAAAAAATAGTGTTTTTACAGACTAATTAGATTTTTAATTTTCATACCCTGTCATCATCCCAATTATTAGTGAAAAGATACATATTTTTTTTCGAATGAGGACTGCTATTGTATTTATTAATTACTTACTTGCAACTAAGGCAGTGTTGGTGCTAATATCAATTTGACGAAAATTCTTCGCTTTTATTTTCAACGGGTACACTGTAATGTATGTTACCTGAAATGACACTATAATTGTATATTGTTATATGCGTACAACAACTATTAATTGATAAATGTTAGGTACCTACCTACATATTATATTGTAGGCCTTTGTTGATGACCCAACACCAAAGTATCGAAACCATAAAATTCATATTGATTAATTTAGTTCAATTTTTATAACTAGATGGCGTTGCCGCGATTAAAAGCAAGCTATGGTTTCGTTACAACGACTTGCTTAAGATGGTAATATTTTTGTGTGTATTATGATCGAACCAAAACAAATTTACGAACCAGCAGTTCAAGCACTACATGCGGAGTTTCAATTTAACCCTATTAGTAGCTACATAAGATCAACGTTACTTCGGTAATACTACTCACCTCTTTGATTAGTTTGGCCCTTTACTCTATCTTCAATTTTCTTGCATACAAATTGTATTTCTATACTAATATTATAAAGAGGAAAGATTTGTACCTATTTATGTATGTTTGTAATGAATAGGCTCAAAAATTACTGGGCCGATTTAAAAAATTCTTTCACCAATAGAATGCTACATTCTTCCAATTTGACATAGGCTATATTTCATTTTGAAAAAAATTAGGGATCCTTGATAAATCTATACTAATATTATAAAGAGGAAAGATTTGTACCTATTTTTGTATGTTTGTAATGAATAGGCTCAAAAAGTTCTGAGCCGATTTAAAAAATTCTTTCACCAATAGAATGCTACATTCTTCCAATTAACATTAATTGTTTGAAACGAGCACCTAGTTTCACAGACAGACGGACGGACAATTCAATGTGGACGTTCCAAAAGTGTCTAATTAAGGATTAATTGAAATAAATGCTTTGAAATGACTTCGATTAATTAAAGTACTTACATCATGTCCAGCTTCCATCAGATGCCTGACCGCTCCTTGTCCCAGAATACTCAAACTCTTCACAGGTAGAGGGAAACATATCAATACTTTTAAACCTTCCACATCAGATAGAAAATATATTAAACTTATTAGTACTGACCACTTCATTCTGGCGTACTTCTAGTAACTTTAGAATGATATAAAAAACAAGGCGTAACGAACACGTCTAACGTGTACTGACACACGAACGGCAGTACAATCATCTCATTCAATAAATAATGTTAGCAGGAAGAAATCCTTACTTGTTTACCAGTTAAAGTACGGCATACAAAAAAATGTAACAATATAATTAAATATTTGTAAATATGATTCTAAAAAATTATATAAACAATGATCGTTCTAGTAATGATTATCCAAAAATATATTGTTGATTTAACAATTAAACTGGCAAATTTGAAATAGTGATAGTCAAGCCTCCACTAGCGGCAGACGCCGGTGAGTGACGTGGCACACTAAGGGTTAAATCACACAAATTAAAAATTGATTCCGAGAGTTGTAAAATATAAAATTGTAAAGGAGGACCCTAGCAAAACGACTTTTAAACTGCAGTTCAACGCGTGAATGAAAAAGAACGTGAATGGGATTGACACTGGATATTTCATTTTAGTTAAAACTTCCGTCGCGCCTATTCATTGCCTTTTATTAACTTTGGTATTTACTCATTTGACTAATATCTTTGGAGGAGACAGATTTTGTCAAGACTACCCATTATCCACAATCTAATGTCCCAATTTTTGTTATTGTCCAATTTATTTTGAGACATTTTTAAATTTAAATTTATTTTTTTCTGGACGTGTGTGAATTACATTAATTAATTTTTTTGTTAACAGTACTAAACTAATAATATGATCATACGCAGAGTAAAGCTGATATATAGTCCAAAAACAAATTAGCTTTTGCCCAAAATGACGCGCTCATAAAATTTTGTAGTTTTCCATTCCCATAAGATCCTAAATTACATTAATGGTTAATGTTAAAAATAAATAGACTTCGTGAAACCTTAAAAATGATCTTGTATTTCTCCCTTCTCTGTTGTCTATGAGTACCAACGACAACACAGCTCAGTGTGGCCATTGATGAGTATCAGGAGACAAAAAACAAGTGAGTTATTTTTAGAACAAGGTCTACAAATGTATCTTGTAAGGTTGACAAAAATTATCTGCTTACAAGAGTAAAATAATATTCGAAGTGTTTGTTCTTTAATAAAATATGTGTAATCAGTTCTTAAACTAGTGCACTATAAAACTTTACGTTGGTATTTCACAATAGAAAACTTTCAGCCTATCTTACGATTGTATATTTATTTCTAAAATCAGGTTTGCTTTTAAATCATTGGATCTAGAATATAAAATTCAATTTGATTTTTTCTGGCCATAATATTCTATTCCATTTCTCTTCTGGCAAAGTCTTCTTAGCAGGAAAACCAATGCAAACGTAGTTGTCAGGATTATTACTAAAAGATCTAGATAAAGACGTTGATGTAATGGTACGTGGAGTGCTGGAGAGCGCAGGTGAAGAGCACCGCATGTGCGCACTACGTGTTCCACCCAGTATGCGAGAGCTAGACCAGGTTTCGTCAAGCGATCGTGATAGATAGCGGATAGCTCTTTCGCTTTCTTAGTGTAACTGAAACAATTCAAAGTATTGTTTATAATTATAATATAGAAACAAATATAATAATATAGATGTCTGCATAATAAGTCACGATGAAGGAGAATGAAGTGGGTGGTTAGATGATATTTGATAGTGAATAACATAAGTGGTTTTCTTCCAATTTGAAACCAGTCAGTCTTATTTTTTTTTTTATGGAATAAGCCGGTAAACGACCAGACGGACCACCTGATGCATGGAGATGGTAAGCAATCGGCGCCGCTCATGGACACCCGCAACACTAGGCGTGCGTTACCACTAGGGATAAGGAATTTGATTATTATTGGGATTCGGGGATTGGGGAGATTAGAGAAGGGGGGGTTATTGGGCCTTCGGTAACCTCACTCACACGACGAAACACAATGCAAGTATTGTTTCACGTCGGTTTTCTGTGAGGCCGTGGAATCGCTTCGGTTGAGTCGGCTATTCGTGCAAAAGCATGGCTCTACACACGTATAGTAGTAATAAGTAAGTAGTAGGTGTGGTAGTAGTGGCAGGTAGTAGCTTTTGCTCAACTTAATAGTCTTAATACTCAATTCTTTATTGCTTTTCAAATTTGTAAATATTAATCATGAACACAAGACTGTAATTAAAATTCTTACTAATGATACTTACCGATCATCACTTAACACAACATTAATGGCAGCCTTCAAGTCTTTAGCCAAATTATGGGACAACTCCACTTTAAGAGCATACCCATTTAGCACGGCTTTATTGACATTCGTGATTTGGTCAAAGAGTACTGGAATTCCTATGGTTGGTACTCCAAAGTGAACAGCTTCTATAGATGAGAACAGACCTCCATGGGTTAGGAACATTTTGACATTTGGATGAGCTGAAAATGGATACAAATTAAATAATAATAATAAAAAAAAAATTATAATAACTATCGTGAGACATACTAAACTAAGTAAAATCGTGGGTTACTCACGTGAATATATTGAGAGCTGCGCGACGTCACCGCGACATGAGGAAGAACCCCTCTGTGGTTCGAAACTAGTAGAGCTTTTCTCAGTATATTCACGTGAGTAACCCGCCATTTTACTTAGTTTAAAATATAATATTGTTGATAGTTTTTATCATTCCGGAATGGTATTGTTGTGAAGGTATATTAACAGGTTTTTAAAACAGTTCAATTTGAAAGTTGATGTTAAAAACTGGTTAAAAGAAATATTCATTGAATGAAAGAGAACTAAGTAATAGTATAATATTGTACGCCATTAAGTCGGTTACCTAAAATGCTTGGCTGTGGAGCCCAGTTTACAATGTGAACGTTCTTCTGGACATCTTGCAAACTATTATCTTCGAATTTCCAAATGACTGTTTGTTTAAATTTTCCGAACATCTGAAGTAATTCCATGATCACTTTCCTCGGCAAAGTCTTGCTTTGTAAAAATGATCCCATACTGAAATATATGACACCATGCTTCGAATTGTCAATAAGGTCTTGGAGATCCTAAAAAGAATAATAAAAAAGTTGTTTTTGTTTGACAAGTTAGACAAATATACAAATAATTAATATAATTATGTAAATTCTATGAACTGTAATTTGGTGCACTATAATTTATACGGATACACTCATGTCATTCAAGGTCATACTTTAAAAAGTACAGCGACTACGTTTTGTTTCGCTTTTGTTTTTACCTTTGGCAGGGGTGTCACGGGTTCCTCAATATGAATTCCACCGATGTACTTGAAGTTCTGTGGAGTGCTTGGTCGATTGCGTACAGCGTCATATTCATTACCGAATATAAGCGAAGCATTGTAAATTACGTCTTCATAATCTGGAAGCGTTCCTCCACGTTTAACTAGCACTGGACCAAAAACTGCTTCGTAAATTCTGCGTTCTTCAGGTTGAGTAAAAAATCTGATAAAACATTCCTGGTAAGTATTTTCATTGTAGTATTATTATTAATATAAATACTTATTGTTGGTATTTAGTTCTTTAACTTTTTAGGGAAGGTAAGCGGACCGAGCTAGGCAACGTTTCTTTGCGAGTTGCTGCCCAAAAGGGTTTTAGAGTTGGTTTTCTTCTAAAATAAAGGTTAACCGTCGCTAAGTAAAGTGTAATTGTGTAATTTGCGTAACATTTCCGATTTCAAGTAGTTACAGTAACATAGACACTTATAGACTTACGTTTTGAAGAATTGCCATTGGATTCGTGTCCATAGTTCATCAACCCTTTCTGTGAAAGATAATGGATTTGTGTTTGAAGACAAGTAGTCTGGGTCGTAAGCAGGGCTCGTAGCAACGTCTATCATTCTCAGTACTTGCCAATGCGCCCCCATAGAGTATACCCATGTCATAGGACATTCATATACAACTGCAAATCTGAAAAGAAGGATTGAGATTTTGCATGAATATAATGACAATTATTAAGCAATTGATCTGTGTGGAATATAGTAGATGAATATTAGGCATTTAGAAGTCTATCCTCGTTGGCCGAGTGGTCGCAAGTTTAACTGCCAGGCAAGGGGTTCGATTCCCGGGTCGGGCAAAGTATTACTGGGTTATTAAAAAAAAATCTCAGTAGTAGCACGGAGTCTGGAATTGTGCCCGGTATATGGCAATACGCTCACCCCCTATTACGTGGGACTCATTACCTTAATAGTGAAAAGTGCGTGTTACATTGTACAGTGGCATAATGTGCATCTACCCCTTCGGAGAGAAAAGGCGTGATGTTATGTAGAAGTCTATCCTTATTTTAACTGGGTAACCGGTCAGGTCAAGGTATACTATCTTCTTAATTTAAGCTCTTACAAGAAATACTCTATTCGATGTTTTACTTACTTTTAATAAAAGGAACTTACCCAGAATATAATTCAGATTCTAATAAATCTGTCAGAATAACATCGAAGTGCTCATTCGGATCTTCAAGGAGTTTTATCACATTTTCGTGATTAAGAGTCATTCTAGCAGCTTCTTGGCCAAATAATTGAATATCTCGAGAGGAAGTCTTCTCAAGTTTATTGTTTAGAATATATTCTATTGACAGCATTTGATCACCTGTAGATTTAGAGCATAGTTACTTAACTCACAATAAAATTCATCAACGCTTTAAAACACTTTATTATTTAAGGTCTAATTTAAATGTCGAAAGTCATTCATAAATACTTTTTTTTACTGAATATCTAAATAGTGATTTTCACTATCAACAGCTTTTAACAGCCTTACTTCTGCATTATGAACCTCTTTTATACAATAATCTCTATGGTAATATCTACGCTTGGTTTGAGTTGATGATTATAGTCTATCAGGTGCAGGTTTATCATTAAGTACTGCTGACAAAATGTATAGTCCTCTAATCCTAAGGACCTACGAACATTCGATGGGTCCTTATTAATATTTATCTGGCATGAAATGTGCCCTTTTTGGAATAATAAGCTTGTTTGTCACCTAAATGGTATCATATTAGCGAATGGTTATGATTTTGAGTTTCTCACCTGCGACTAGAGCAGTGTTGCTGCTGATATCAATTTGACGGAAGTTCTTCGTTGGCGGATTCTTTAGGGGATACACTGTCATGTACGTTACCTGAAAAAAAGAATATAATTATTTTACTACGATTCATTTATTGTTCATCGTTTGTTGAAAATTGGACTCGGTTTCTATTTCTAGGAATACATTATTAAGACGTTATCCTGATTGTCACATAAACATGGAGGTTCCCTAGGACTTCAGTCCTTGAGGACATCATGGAGAATCTAAATGATAGTAAGTTTCCTACAACATGACTAGAAAAACAGAGATTTTTGGCTGGTGAATAATTTAAAAGTGCTAATAAATTAAATTTTATGCATACCTCATGTCCAGCTTCCAATAAATTTCTAACCACACCTTGTCCCAAAATGCTTACACTTTTCACAGGTAAAGGATAACAAACTAGTACTTTTAGACCATCTACGATACTTAAAAAATAATATAATAATATCAGACATAATAACATTGGAAACTTCATTTCAACACACTCTAATTAATCTTTTAGATAAGAAAAAAAATTGTTTTTCATAAAAATAAACAACACGTGTAAAGCGTATCAACAAGATACTGGTAATAATTATGATCAATCCACACAGTGGTATAAGAAGTTAATGATCCATGCTTATTGGTACGGTAAGCAAAAAAATAAACGACGATTTATCGAACCTTACGGCACCACAGAATAAGCGACAATTGAAGTTAATATTATTAAATCAGCGTCCAAAGGCAATTTTTTACATTATAAAACACAGAGTTATTTAGATCCTACTAATTTTTTTTAAATAAAAACATTGCCGGACATTAGGATTTTCTCCTGTGTCGTAGGTGCGTTTACAAGCATACATGTTTTGATTATATTTCTAAAAAAACTTAGCTTTGTTTCCAAATGCTTCAACTATTACAAAGTTGGCAGTATGTATGAAATAAAACATTACAAACTTCTTACAAAATATTTTTTTTAATTGACATTAGACCTAAAATATTAACCTACCTATTTGAGAAAAAAACTAAATCAGCTAATTTTCTTCCGGTCATGTAATTTGGCGGTTTTGTTCCTATATAGTGTACTTATTAGGAAAATTAATACAGATACAATAGTCAGAGCTATAGCTAAGAGATCGAGGTAAAGACGTTGGTATAAAGGCACGTGGAGGGCTGGAGAGCGCAGGTGAACGGCACCGCGTGTGCGCACTACATGTTCCACCCAGTAAACGAGAGCATCACTTGGCTTCAGCAAACTGTCGTGGTAGAAAGAGGATAGCTCTTTGGCTTTTTTGGTGTAACTGAAACAAAAACATCAATAATATCATTAACTGGATGACGTCTCTTCAGAACAAAGGTTAAATAATGTTGTTGTTAGGATCCACTAGTAGCATCAAATATAATGTTTTAAATACACATAACTCTAACAATACTGAAGAATACAGTAGAACAAAATAATAAATGGTAATGTATGTATTTCTAAATTATCAAAAAATTTACTTACCGATCGTCATTTAACATGACATTAATTGCAGCCTTCAAGTCTTTAGGAAGATCGTAAGACAGTGTCACTTTCAAAGCATATCCATTAAGCACTGCCTTATTGACATTAGTATTCTGGTCGAAACGTACTGGTATTCCTATGATTGGTACTCCAAAGTGGATAGCTTCTATGGAAGAGAATAGGCCTCCATGTGTGATGAATATTTTGACATTCGGATGAGCTGGAAAAGAGTTCCAATGATAAATACGTGTAGCAAGTATGAAGTTTATTAAATGGCAATGTTTTGACCACTCAAAATAAAGAAGTTGAAGCCAAGGACTGACTAAAGCGACGCTGAAAATTATTACAAAAAACGGAGTAAAAGTAACAATCACTTTACCTAAAATCCTTTGTTGGGGAGCCCAGTTTACAATGTGAACGTTATTTGGGATGTCTTCTAAATCGTTACCTTCAAATTTCCAAATAACGGTTTGTTCAAGTTCTCCGAACATTTGAAGAATGACGTTAATTAGATTTGATGGCATAGAATTACTTTTCAAAAATGATCCCATACTGAAATATATGACGCCGTGCACCGAGTTATCTATGAGGCGTTGGATGTCCTGAAATGATTGTAAATACAGTTTATCTTTGACAAGGGAGACGGAGATGACTATAATTTAAAAATTGTGTTCAATTATTTACATTTTCCAGTGGCCTAATAGGTTCCTCAATATGAAGTCCACCGATGAATTTAAAGTTTTGTGGAATACTTGGTCTGTTGAGTGCAGCGTCATGTTCATTTGCAAATATCAGCGACGCATTATATATGATATGTTCATAATTTGGAAGCATCCTTCCACGTTTAGCCAGTAAAGGACCAAAGACGGTCTCATAAATCTTGCGCTCCTCTGGTTGAGTGAAGAACCTAATAAAAAATACAATCCGATGCAATCCTTGTTATCGACAACATGTTTTAAAAATTTTGGTTAGTTGTTTAAACATTAATTATAGATAGTTTATGTCAATATTCTGCAATTATGCATTATCTTGCAGATAAATTGAAGTCGTCGCTTGACTTTGAGACAACTGGAATTTATATGAATAGAGAATTTTACGCATAGGTACCTACGTTTTGAAAAATTGCCACTGTATTCGTGTCCATAGTTCTTCGACTCTTTGTGCGAATGATAATGGATTTATGTTTGATGATAAGTAGTTTGGATCATAAGCAGGGTTCGTAGCAACATCTATCAATTTCAGTACTTGCCAGTTTGCCCCCATAGAGTGGATCCATATCATAGGACATTTGTATACAACTGCTAATCTGAAAAGGGGAATGAAACAAGTTTATAAGTAAAAAAAAACTTCTAACAGTTGGCACAGAAGAAACCGATTAAAAACATTATTTTGAACATTCCATGAGATATGGAAACTCTTGTTTCTAATGATATTGAAAAGAAGAGCAATTGCACCACTCACCCAGCATATAATTCAGTCTCTAATAAATCCGCTATAACAACCTCGAAGTGCTCACTTTGATCTTCCAAGAGTTGTGTCACGTTTACATGGCTAAGAGTATTTTTTGCGATTTTTTGACTGAATATTTGAATATCACGTGGTGAACTGTTTTCCAGTTTATTGTCCAGAATATATGCTAATGAAAGTATTTGCGCATCTGTAAACAAATTGTCATCATCAGTTATAGTATCGTTGTAATTTTTATCATCATCAACCCCCGAACTTAAGCTACGCAAATGACTTCCATTTTTAATTTTAATTTTAACTATCGGCTAATATAATCGGCCATCATTTTGCCCAAAAATTCCAGAAATAGTAAGTTACATTATTTGGATAAATCAGATAATATCAAAAAGTTACGGCTCTCTATCAGAAAGGCGTCAAGTATGTATTGAATGGGTATAAAAAATAATTACGAGTCTTATTTTTTGTTATTTACCTGCGACTAAAGCAGTGTTGCTGCTAATATCAATTTGACGTAAATTTTTAGTTGGTAGGTTCTTCAACGGGTACACTGTTATGTATGTTACCTGAAAATTTAATGTTGGACTAGCGCAACGACTGACATTGTCAATTTTTGACTCAACCGAATCCGATTGTAGCCTATCCAATGGGCTCTAATTGGGAATGCAATCAAGTCAAACCAAAATCTTAATGGAATCTTTCCAATTAGTCAACGTGGTATTAGGAAATTTGTTGTTTTCATTCTTTTAACAATTATGTTTTATAGAATTGGACATGATATCCACAATTCATATTTCTGGAGTGTCTGCCTTGATTTACATTATTAAGATTGTTAGGTCTCTGAGCCTGTCAAGATTCTGGGCTTAAGAAGTAATCCGGTAATCCCAATTGCTGTGAATGAGTGTTGTATTCAGCCAATCAATTTGATTCTTATAGATTTTTACTTACCTCATGTCCAGCGTCCATCAAATACCGAACTACACTTTGTCCTAATATACTAATACTTTTCACGGGTAAAGGAAAACAAACCAATACTTTTAGACCATCTACATTATACAACAAATATACTAAATGTAGTATTAATATACACTTCATTTTGACTCGTTTTATACGTCTTAAATATTTTTATAGAAAAAAGTTAATTGTCGAACAAATGCATCAATTGGAAACTCGTCCAATTGTTATTGATGCGACAACCGTAATAATAATCTGTGAGACGCTAATTGTATGCAATTTAATTCGAAATTAATGATCTAAACTTACTGGTATGGTAAACAGAAGAAATCTAGAATATGGAGCAAACTTCGTTTTGATTTAGAAATAATTCATGTCTAATAATTGATGTTAGTACACACTCCCTGGCTGTTCTTGAAGTTCCTTGGTTTTGGTGACTGTGTCACCAAAATGTCCTTTGATCAACAATAGTAACAATAGTTATTGTTGATCGAAGAAAATGACTTATTTTTTTTTCTATCAGAGATCGTTGTCACAATATAAACAATCCATTTTTCTCCATATTACTTTTCTATCTCAGATTATCAATTGTTTTTTTTGTCGTTACTGTATTTCCCCCGTCCGAATTTATTTTCATCCATTGGTTTATCATATCGCACAGCGGCCTTATATTTATAAAATTTTACAAAGAATAACCGCTTTCTTATATGATCCTACAATAAATAATATATCAATATAATTGTAGCACTTCTTTGCTGACACTACTTACCAAAAACATCAAGGCCACATAAAGGTACATAAACAAACGAAGAATCAAATAAATCATAATGCATTAGGTTTTAACTAGTTTATTATGTGACATTCTTGCATCTAGTTTTGCTTTGATAATTAAATTCGATTTTCGGAACTACAGTCTGAAAATCTGCCCGGTATATATGGTAAAGGTTCACCTAGATTACCTACATGAGACTCAAAACATAATTAGTGGAAGTGTAACATTTACGATTGGCAATTTTTTAAACAGAATTTTATTTGACCTTGCCCTGGAGTTGCATGAGTTTGTCAATGATAAAGAAAGGTCAATGGTATCTAATATACACGTTCTCCTAAATATTCTGAAAATATATGACATGATGTTACGTTGAATTTAATTAAGAATCTCCTATTATTATCAGTCAGTTGAAAATAGTACACTGTATCTCTCTGCAGAATAACAAGCCTATCAAAAAGTTACTGTGTCGTTTCATGCCAATTGTTCAATTAACGTAATGGTTGACTGGCGAGGCAGTGAAGCGTGATGCTTTATGCACTTATGTCTGTTGCCTGGCAACTAAAGATTCGTATCCATTGGGCAACATTTGACGCGCGATATTTTGTATCAGTATTGTAAGTCAGCGTCGATCTTTTATTTAGCAATATTGTCTGTCTACACAAGATTTTGCTCCCAACGGATGTCAAGTAACAATTAATTATTATATGAGGAACTAGTGTTGATTTGAGTACCACTTTTTCGTTGCACATTACGTTTTCTACACGTTCTTGTATCGAAGTAATCAACAAGTACAATAGATAACATCATGTTGCGCGTCACATGACAACGTCACATGGTGTTGTACAATATTGTCAAATATGCTTGACGTCTCCGTTGCAACTATTGAAAACGAGTCTTTACGTTGACCTTGATGCTCCCTATATTGGTGAGGATGCCAAGGTGCTGTTGATTCAATTATTTAGTACTCTCTGATCATATCGTAAAGTCTGGTTCATATTTATACTATGGTCTTTCTTGGTCTAATTCTGATTGAATGAGAATATAGACCGTTCAATAATATTGTTTTTGGAGATTAGTTCCTGTGTTTGGCATAATTGTCAACGTAAAATTTTTAGTAATTTGCAGTTTTTAAACAAAGGGGATATTTCTCTGAATGAGTATTTAACTCGTCGAGTACCGGTTTTGTAGACACAATTATAGAACAATAGGTTGCGGTCACCGGTGACCGCTTGGTGTTTGACAGTTTAATTGAGAATTTAGAAATTTAATAAACTAGTTAATTAATAAACTCAATCTGGAATCGAACCAGAAGTCTTTGGTGAGCAGCAATCACTTTTATATATGCGTTACGCAATAGCCAAAATGATAAGTATGGTAACACACTTGTCGAGATCTTCAGGTATTAAAGGAGTATAAATGGTGTCAATGTCTATTCATGTAAATATTAAATTGACTCCTGATAAATAATTTAACGCAATATTACACATTTAGTCACAAATATAATTATAGCATGTCGGTTGCTGCCTAGTACAAATTGAAGTAAATAATAAACTAGGTGCTGATTTAGAATAATGTATGTCTCTAAAATAGAATCAATACTTGACAGTTTTTAGTATGGAAGACTGTCCAAACAGTTAAAATTGTTCCACCGATAAAGCACGATGAAAGATTTCGTTTCACCCTTTATGGGGATACCAGAAGGAAGATAAAAAAACAACAATATTCTAAGAAGGTATTATTGGCTCTTCTCTTTTTTATTACTCCTCTTTTTCATTACATATTTCACAGCCTTTTTGAGTACAATCACAACTACAACTATAAATGTTGCTAGATCTAAGTAAAGCTTTTGATAAAGTGGGACATCGAGAGCAGGTGATCGGAGATGGGGTGCACCACGTGTCCGCACAACGTATTCTATCCAATATGGGACTGCTGCGCCTGGTGTCATCACACGGTCATGGAACAGAGCTGATATTTCTTTGGCTTTTTTTCTATATCTGAAAATTGAATGGGTGAATTGTAAGTCTTATCAATATGGAGTTACTAAACCTAAAAGTAATAAACTTGAGTACATAATAATCATTAATTACGAACACCAAAAGCAATACGAAAAAGTCTAGTAAGACAAAATCGTAAATACATGAATGAAAATATTGACTGCACGGTTGATGCGGTGGCTGGGTAACAGGCTGCCGTGCAACGTGTCGCGGGCTCGATTCCTGCACGGAACAACACTTTGTGTGATCCACAAATTGTTGTTTCGGGTCTGGGTGTTATTGTGTATGTGAACTTGTATGTTTATAAACGCACTCACACAGGAGAAAATCCTAATGTGAGGCAAAGTTTTTTTTTAAAAAGAAAGAATTTTGTTGACCAGTTTGTTGTTGACTCGATATCCATCCACTCTTATTTTATTCCCAACAGTAGACATCAATAAGTTGTAATTATTAAATTGGGAATTTTTTTATTCGATTAAGATCACGTCTTAGGGAACTGGGTTCCATAGAGAATTATGGAAAACCTTGATGATGAAATAATTGACACTTATCAACTTACGCGTCATCGGTCAGTACTTTTTTGATAGCTGCATCAAGTTCTGGTATCATATCTTCAGATAGGGTGACCTTGATTCCAAAACCCTTGTTCTCCACGGAGATCATGTTGAGTACCTGGTCTGCCATCACAGGGATACCAACTAAGGGTATTCCGTAATGTATGGCTTCTGATGTGGAGAGCTGACCACCATGGGTGATGAACAGTTTGAGGTTCGGATGAGCTGAAATTCAGGAAGTTTTTGTTGATATAATGGATGAAGAGCAACCAAGTAGGTACGTATGTCCATTATATTGTAACCTACCTAGAACTATATAGCTAAAATAACAAGCTTAGATTAAGCATTATGTAAACAAAATGAAAATAAATATATTTATTTGTTTATTTGTTTTTGTGAAATTATTATTTTCATTCTTAAGTTATTTACTTTCAAAGTCTTAGGCTTTCGCCAAAACTTTTGAAGGAATTTATTAGGGATCAAAGGATTAAACGATTTATGTAACACGATTCTTTTTTACATCATTTGGACGTATCTAACAGAAATAATAAAATGGAGGTCTTTCTTACCTAATATGCTTTGCTGTGGAGCCCATTTAACAAGATGAACGTTGGAAGGTATGTTATCCTTCATGTCACTCTCGAATTTCCAGATAACCGTCTGTTTATATTTACTGAACATGTTCAGAATAGACTTCTGCATCTGTTCAGACATTCCATCACTTTGAACGATAGATCCCATGCTGAAGTAAATGACACCGTTTTTCGCTTCGTCCATTATTTTTTGGAGATCCTATAAAAACAAAAAAGACATTAAATTCACATTTGATATCATTGTCTATAATATTCACAGATGATGACGATAAAAACTACTTCATGTGTATAATAATGCCATTATTGCATTAGAAAGATACTTCTTAAAGAATTTGGATTCCATTCCTAAAACGATCAGATTTTGGTCAAATATTCTTTTGAGTTAATGAAAACAATCATATTGTGTACTACAAAATATTAAAAGTATCATCAAATTATGAGCTAGCTGCAAAGATACAGAAATGAAACCAACGACTTTCCCAGAGGATTTTCTCCGCTAATATTTGGACCAACAGACCGAACGTTTAGCACGTGCTATGCAAACAAATTAGTTCCGCTGCAGTAAGCAGATGGAGTTAAACCAAGCAATCTACAGTATAAGATTGCAGATTTGCAGAGCTGGATAAAAATCCTTGGAGACCCAACGTAGCGGTTGATTCCCTATTGTTGTACTAAGTCTTTTGAGCGGTTGGAAAGATTAGAGAGAATAAATTCAGGGCGTGTTGCTTTTGGCTAAGCTCAAACGTTCATTTTATTCTGCCCGTGGGAAATAGCGTGATTACGTATTAACCGAGTCGTTGATGTACTGTGTAAAGGCCAAACATATATTTTTTTATGTCTTCCAAGTTAAAAGATTGTGGAAAAATGGATTTTGCTTGAATTTTTTTGTTAGATGTTTGAGCTTGATATTAGGAGAAACAAAGGTATCCTACTAATATTATAAATGTGAAACTTTATTTGTTCACGTCGAAATGGCTGGATACTTCAGATGAAATGATACAGAAACAGGGCTAGATTATGGTCTAGAATAACATTAACAGTTAACAGGCTACTTTTTATCTCACGGGTCCGCGGGCAAAGACGCTGACAGAAGCTAGTATGTTATTTTTCCTTCCCCTTGTTAATTCTTTGACGATTTTATCCATGTATTTAGTTATTACTATCTAGTTCATCATCATCATCATCAGCAATAAATGAGTGGCCACTTTTTTTCTGAGGGGGTAAAATCATCCAATGACTTCTCCCGCCCGGGCGAGGCGAGAGGGGGTGTCAGACTCTTACTGACTAAAACCTCCACGTTCCTACTCCTGCACTTGGAGCCGGAGCCCCGGCAACTCGTTAGCTCCTCCGCGGCTCCGTATCGGCATCAGCCCTATTGGGCCCCATTTGTGGTAGTCTGATGGCTCTTTGAGAAGCGGGCGTCTTAAACCGCCGGGCCACTACGACAATTATTTATACTCTTTACTTATTTATTCGTATACAATACATCAATACATAGTATAAAACAAAGTCGCTTTCGCTGTATGTCCGTATGTATGCTTAGATCTTTAAAACTACGCAACGGATTTTGATGCGGTTTTTTTTAATAGATAGAGTGATTCTTAAGGAAGGTTTGCATGTATAAAAATATTGCACCCGTGCGAAGCCGGGGCGGGTCGCTAGTGATAGATAAGTCTAAGTAATACTTTAGATAAGTGAGGTCTACACTTACAGAATACTAATACAAAATGATTACTTAATTGGTTAGTCTATACGTGTGCAGTACCTATGTCTACTACAGTAGTGTCTTTGTTTATCGTTCAAGGAAGTCACATAATATTTTAAACTGTAGTTTACTTAGGTATTTGTTAGATGGTTTGCTTTTAGTTTCTATTTTATTATTTTCTCCTCTGGTCTACAGCGTTTGGGTTTTATTTCATAGATTTACATTAGAGCACAATTAGCTTCTAAACATTCAGCTTCTAAAATTTATTCTTACTCTTACTTGATAATCTTAATTTTATATCGTAACTGACAATTTCTAACAATCTGTGTTCCAACTTCTCGATTACATTTTTTTAATCTTTATAATTATTTTGTTTTCGGGCATTACATTATATGTTTTAACAACATGTTATGTTGTTAGTCGTAACTACTTGATAACAGGAAATTGATAACTTAGCAAATAAAGTGATAATATTCATAAAATAAATCAAACACGTCAAAATAATTATATTTCTATATACTGCCTCGTTGGCCGAGTGGTCGGAATTGCGACTGCCGGGCAAGGGGTCGGTTCGATTCCCGGGTCGGGCAAAGTATTACTGGGTATTTTAAATATTCTCAGTAGTAGCACGGAGTCTGGAACCGTGCCCGGTATATGGCAATAGGTTCACCCCCTATTACATGGGACTCATAAAATAAATAGTGAAAAGTGGGTGTTACATTGTACAGTGGCATAATGTGCACCTCTGCCTACTCCTTCGAGGATAAAAGGCGTGATGGTATGTTATGTCTATACATTACCTTCGGCAAAGGTTTGACTTTGTCAATGTGGTAACCAGCAATATTTGCAGAGTTTTGAGGCAATTTTATGGCCCCTCCAATAGAAGGATGAGCGTTAATCAGCATGAAGGATCCGTTGTATACCGCCTCCTCATATGACGGCATTGTCACACCTCGCTTGGCTGCGATCTCAGGGTATATGGAATAGTAAGACCTTTTTTCAAACTGGTTGAGAATCAGCCTGGAAACACGGAGACAGAGGTAATTTAGTTGATGAAGATAATGACTTGGATGATGGGTGAATAAAAAATGATTAACAATTGGTCAATTTAGGAATGATAGTATAATTGCTGTGATGAGCAGTTACTGTTTACTGTTGAACATGACATCAACAGCTGGACTTCAGTGTTCCAGTGATTTCATGGTTGTATCGTCTGCAAACCCTGGATTAAAGGAGTTACAGCAGTTTATAGAATTTGTAACGACATTGTCTCAAAAGAAAAGTCAATTACATTTTTTTTTAATATTAGATGGTACTGATGTTTGATGATTATCTCGCCTGGTGGTAAGCGATGCGGTCTATGATGGAGCAAGTCGACCCATGAGCAACCTATTCACTCGGGCCTTGAAGACACCAGGTTATGTATATGTAATACACTTCAGGAAATACAGACTCTGGCAAAGAATTCTTCATTAATAGCATGTGACATTTCACAGTGGACCCTGGGCCTTCTATGTATAAAAGAGTTTGCCATAACTTCCACGTTCATCAGAAGACTTAGAGATTGAAGTTTGAAGGTTCTGGATTATCAAAGAGCGCCAGTGCCTTATATTTGAAGGGGGATATGAGTGATGAAAAATGTGTACCTCTACAGTCACCACACGGCTAATAAGCATAAAGATTTGTGATTAAAAAAATAAACTAAACAGATAAAACCTCTTTACTTACACCTGAACAGCTTTCTTCACAACCTTCCACAGTCCTTCAGCTCGTTGCCAGAAATTCAAAGGTAGCTTATTGTGGGTAAATATGTCTAGAGTGTAGGCTGGGTTAGTAATCCCGTCCATCACTCTCATGGATTGCCAATGGGGCTCCGTCGAACATACCCAGATAAGAGGGCAGTTGAACAGTGCTGGAATGCTGTGAAGAAAATGAAATAATAAGGTAAGTTTGGTGATTTATATACCCCTATTATATGGGACTCATAACATAAATAGGGAAAAGTGGGTGTTACTTCTGTGTGCATCATCTTCTCTGCCTACCCCTTCGGGGATAATAAGCAGGAGTCTGACCATTTAGTTTTAGAATGAAGTTGCTAGTTCCACTGTAGTATGTAGTGATCCTATTATTAATCAACATACATTGAGGACAATTAGTACTCTGAAGTAATTACGGGCGAGGTCGTATACTGTGTATACTGCGGCCCAGCCTGGAGAAGAAGTTGTAACTATTTAGTCATCAAAAGCCTGACACTCCGACAACGTACTTGCAACACCTCTGATGTTGTGGGTTATAGGGTTTATAAGCAGCGCTGATGCCTTACCATTAGTTATCTCTTCATTAGGATCTTGTTTATCCCTTATCCATAATAGTAATAAATTCAATGAAACATACCCAGCATTCATCTCAGTGAAGAACCACTCCAGGACAACAGCATCAAACTTCTCTTTAGGGTCACTGAACAACTTGACTACACTGGGCTCCTCCAGGAAGTTTCTATGTATTATATAGACGTAATACATAAATAGGGCGGAGTCCCCAAAGTTACCTTTTCCAATTAGGTTTTTCAGTTTGAATTGTTCCACTGAAAATTAATATTTAGGTAAGTGACAAATTTGTGTGAAGCACACATATACTATTTTTACAAGTTTCTTAAAGTTTCTTTGTTGTTTATGTTTAGTAAATTAATTTTTGGTGTCATGATTATGAGTGTGTCGGAGAGCCATGCTTCGGCACGAATGGGCCGGCTCGACCGGAGTGATACCACGGCCTCACAGAAAACCGACAAGAAGCAACGCTTGCGTTGTGTTTCGTCGTTTGAGTAAGGTTACCGGAGGCCCAATTACCCTCCCCTTCCCCAATCTCCGCAATTCCTGAATCCCCAACGATCCTCAAACTTCTAATCCCCGAAAGGCCGGTAACGCACTTGTAACGCCTCTGGTGTTCCAGGTGTCCATGGGCGACGCCGATTGCTTACCATCAGGTGATCCGTCTGCTTGTTTACTGGCTTATGCCATAAAAAAATCTAAAGATTTTTACTTTAATACTTTATCGTGGGAAACGTAATATGAATGCACTTACGGAGATGTTCTTAAAATGATCAACCATTTTTTTTTATTACCATTGTTACACAAAACTTTAGGCAACTTATTTAAACAAATCATTTTGGACAAAGAAACCTGAATACAATAAAATTATAAATCGGCTCGACCGGGGTGATGCCACGGCTTCACAGACAACCAACGTGACACAACGCTTGCATTTTGTTTTGTCATGTGACTGGACTGTTACCGGAGGCCCAATTATCGCCCCTCCTCAGTCTCCCCAATCTTTGAATACCCAACAATCCTCAAATTCTAATCCCCAACACGCCGGTAACGCACTTGTTACGCCGCTGGTGTTTCGGGTGTCCATTGGCGACGCCGATTGCTTACCACCAGGTAATCCGTCGTGTATAATATGTAGTAATATAGTAATATAGTAATTTAGTATGTAGGTAATCGTGTATCGGCTTATCCCATAAAAAAACTAGTACGTAGAACTTACCTCCATCAACATCCTTCGTAAATACTTCTGCTATAGATGATACATTGACTTCAGTGAGATTTGGCAGCACTTTGCCATTTGGAAACGATGTTATATGAACTACCTGGAATTTCAAAAAACACTTATTAAGAACTGGCTTATTGATCATGTTGTAATTACAAAGTGCAATTCATAAATTCTGGTCATGGGTTTGATTTTCTTGTCCACTTAAGCATTGTTGGGTTTTCAGTTACTGAAATTTTAATCGATAAAAACACGACCATATTTATGTAAACTTTTTTGCGTCTTCACCGTTTTAATTTTTTTTCTTTTTTATGTTATTGTACTTTGTGACGGTGGAAAAATAAACTATTTTTCTTTATTTCTTTCTTTCTGTATTTAATTAATGACATAGCTGACCAAAACTTTTTTTTTCATTGGTAAAATAAAGGTGTAAAATTATATTTTATGCACATTATTTTAAAGTTCATTACCTCATGTCCAGCTTCCAGCAGTCGATTGACGATGCCATGGCCCAGAATGCTGTGGCTCTTGGAAGTCATAGGATAACATACTAAAATCCTTAGGGCCTCACCCGATATCAACAGACTTAGTAAAAAAATACTGGTGATTATTTTGTACTTCATCTGTAACGACAAAAAAAAAGTTTATTTCAACAGATTTTCTTTAAAGTTTAACATATCATAACCTCACACCTTTTATTCCCGAAGGGGTAGGCAGAGGTGCACATTTACAAACATTACTTAATGGCACTGTACAATGTAACACCCACTTTTCATTATTTATTTTATGAGACCCAAGTAATAGGGGGTGAGTCTAATGCCATATACTGGACACAATTCCAGACTTCGTGCTACTACTGAGATTTTATTTTAAAACCCAGTAATACTTTGCCCGACCCGGGAAATGAATCCGAGACCCTTTGCCCGGCAGTCGCACTTACGACTACTCAGCCAACGAGTCACACTATTCATTTTATTCTCAAAAAACAATTATAAAGGAATAGGTTAAATAAGCATTAAATGACCCCGAGTCCGGCAATTAATGACGTGTTTGGTGATTCAAAAATTAGGACACCGATTTTGATATTTTATGCAAGTTGGAAATTGTGTTACAAGCTTGAGCTCTAAGGCGTGTAATTATAGAGTCCAATATCCAGCACTGGACGAAAACGGACTGATAATGATGATAATGATGACGATGACTTGTAATAATCACACAAACCGGTTTTAAAAAAGAACTGTCGTAATTTTTAACTATAAGAGAAGCGAACTCTAAATATTGTACAGTAGGTACTGTGACATTTCATATTAAAACATATTAAAACGACTGCTTCGTTGGCCGAGTGGTCGCAAGTACGTCTGTCGGGCAAGGGGTCTCGAGTTTGCATACCGGGTCGGGCAAAGTATTACTGGGTTTTTTTTTATTATCAGTAGTAGCACGGAGTCTGGAAATATGCCCGGTATATGGCAATAGGCTCACCCCCTATTACATGGGACTCATAACATAAATAGTGAAAAGAGGGTGTTACATTGTACAGTGGTATAATGTGCACCTCTGCCTACCCTTTCGGGGATAAAAGGCGTGATGTTATGCATGGATGTATGTATGTATTAAAACGATTGTATATAACAAAAATGTCTTAAATTCAAATACTGTCCGCACGATAATTATGTAACATTTCAACAAACTATACGTAACTTGTTTATAGTTAGTATAAAACAATTGTTTATGAATTCGAAGCACGAAATCGTTGAAATAACTCTATCACAACAAATTTGGCCTTCGCAACCAATAATAAAACGCTCTTGAAATCTGTGGTACTGGCAATAGATGATGTCAAACAGAGAATAATTAATACATACAACATAACGATTGATCATTAGGGCTATATTTAAGGTTTAATTTCTCAAAAACAATTTACATTGACTGCCTCGTTGGCCGAGTGGTCGCAAGTGCGACTGCCGGGCAAGGGGTCTCGGGTTCGATTCCCGGGTCGGGCAAAGTATTATTGGGTTTTTAAAATCTCAGTAGTAGGACGGAGTCTGGAAAGGTCCCCGGTATATGGCAATAGGCTCACCCCCTATTACATGGGACTCATAACATAAATAGTGGAAAGTGGGTGTTACATTGTACAGTGGCATTAAGTGCCGAAATGTGCATCTCTGCCTACCCCTTCGGATATAAAAAGGTGTGATGTTATGTTATGTTAATTTACATTGACTTGTCAGAGAAATACAAAATATATTTAAGTAGGTACAGAATGCGAACCATTGTTCGAAACAACAATTATGAACCACCAAATTATTAATTTACATACTCTTAAGTATATTTTAAAATACACAATAAAGTTACTTTGAGTAGACGAGCATAATCTTAAAAATATTGGGTCGAGAATAGCAAATATTATGTTTTTATTCATAGGGATTTATAATAGCAATGGTCTTATTACGTATCGAAGATTCAAAACACATTAGTTGCTATAAGATGTACAATAATAATTCTGTTATGAACAACACCTGGTACCCCATGGCGGCGCAACCAGCCGTGCCACCATGGTGTTCGTAAGCTACAAACTAGACACCACGCACTTCACACCGCGAAAGATTGGTTGCGCAACCAAGTGGACACCAGGTGAGTAACTTTCTATAGAGCTCTATATTTTGTTGTGGTTGGTGAAATGAGCCCTTGGAAGGTATACCTATATACAAACATTAGTTTTTCCTAGTGTAAATAAAACACGAGATAGGTACCTAATGTCACGACAAGCTTTTAAATTATTTGAATTTAACAGCCACATTTATGGGTATACAATCTAAATTGCATGCATAAAATTTCAGCTCGATCGGTTGGGGATATAAAGAAAGAAAGAAAGAAGGAAAGAAAAAAAGACGGAAAGAAAGAAGGAAAGAAAGAAAGAAGGAAAGAAAGAAAGACGGAAAGAAAGAAAGAAAGAAAGATGGAAAGAACGAAAGAAAGAAAGAAAGATGGAAAGAAAGAAAGGAAAGAAACTTTATTTCATGCTAAAAAACAAATGGCATGTACAGATGTGTCATTCTATTAGTAGGTATTGATGGATAGATGTTCATGTTCCAAGTCTACCGTGAAATGGGACCAGGTTAGCATGTCCAAGACAGATATTATTATCAGCTTCAAAATTCAGTTGCAAAATTCCACTTCAGACACATTCATACATTGCAAGTTAAATAATAGCTTATGATGAAATTTCATCATCATCATCCGAAATTAGCAGTTACCTCGTCAAACTGCTTTGTGAGTCAACCACGAAAAATATAATTATGTAAAATAATAATATTTTACGTAGCTACTACTACCATATCAGCTACTACATAAAATTCAAGACAGGCTGATTTATACTAGCTTTTGTTATTAAATAACCCAGTGGTTACTCAATATCAATTTAGGGGTATAATTATTATTTATAATTATTTTTTTTTTATTCACAGATTATATACGTATCAGCTTTTACATCAAAATTGCACAACTGTATAACAGTTTGTTGGCGATAAATAGCTGACAGACTAAAATTAACTTTTTATTTATCTACCAAGGCATATAAATTTTCTTAACCTGGGGACCAAACGCTTATAATTTTTGGCAAACATGATACATATTCACAAATTACTACACCAACATTGTTATCAGTGAAACAAAAATACTTGCCACCTTGAAAAATTAACAAAATAAACAGTTTATTTTCGGTTGTACCATATCGTAGTCGCAAATAGCAATCGCAAAGTAACGCCATCTAGTAGCACGTCACAACAACTTAAAAGTATTTTTCTGATACTCGTAAAATAACAAAATATATTGAATGATTTCTCTTATAAGTAACCAAGCTTACTTTTACCTATTTGTTACCAGTATTTATTATTTTTATTACTCCTTTTTGCAATTTTATAAAATTTCTAAGGTCAATATGAAATCTGATTAATTAATTTAATTTCAAAATAATGGTAATAATTACTTGTAACTAATATTATTATGCCACAATAATCATTATTGTTACATCACATATATCAAATGCGTGCGCATGATTTTGTTTGTGAATTAAATAAAAATTAGACTGATTATCATGACCGGACATACAACCATTGTTTGTTTAATGCTAATCAATAAATAAATAAAATATACGAACAAACTCCAACAATGTGACACTTTATCAAAATAAAAATAGTCTTCTATAAAAACTACACTTTAAAATCAAAATATACTTACATTAAAATTTACAATAAATAATAGAACAAAAAATTCTCACGATTACACTAAAAAAACAATTCTCATTCACATTTATTTTGCTCTCACATTAAAACACCGTGCATCACTATTCGCAGCTCAAGCGGTACTGAATTGTGACAAGACATATGTATAATTGTATATATAACTCGAGTGTCTTCCTCAATTGGTACGGTTTGTAACTTATATTTTATATAGGAACTACTTCCTATATAAAATCGCAATTCATCATGATTCAGTGTCAACGAAACTAGTTAAAGTTTTTATCAAGAAACTCTTGAACTTAATGTTAACACTATTTGTTATAAAATATCTGTCATTATGTAAACAAAATATTAGTTAAAATATTTTTGTTTTAACGAACTTAATTAAAAATCGCAAGTTATAAAGGGGTGACCTCATGAGCAGCGTGCGTGGTCGCGGCGATGTTGTGGCTGTTGATGTATGTAATCTAAATCGATTTTTTGTTAGTTGTTTTCTACATGGAGAAGTAGTAGTTACTTCTACACTACACTACACTCAAGTTTCAATTCCGTTGGCGTGCTAGCTACTTTAGAACCTAATGGCTTGGTACGCAACGATGGCAAGAGATCCGACGGTATGTCATTATTCCCTTGGAAGATGGGTAGGCCTTTAGTATGGGACGCCACTTGACTTGCGTTGATACTCTGGCGGCATCCCATCTTCCAAACTCAGCGTGCCGAGCCGGTGTTGCCGCTGCTGCTGCCGAGAACCTCAAACGGCGAAAGTATGATAGCCTGATTGGCAATTATGCTTTCGAACCGTTTGGGGTTGAAACTTTAGGGCCGTGGGGACCAAGTGCACATCTTCTTTACAAAGATATTGTAAGAATGGTTGACACTTCAGGTGATCGAAGTGCTGGCTTCTACCTTGGACAAAGGTTAAGCATTGCCATTCAACGTGGCAGTGCTGCCAGTCTTTTGGGCACCCTACCTCACGATAACGATGAGGATAATTTTTTTGCCTTATTATAGCTTATTTTTTTTAAGGTGTAAGTATTTTAGTTCATAGTTATTTATATTTTAAATTGTATATATTTTCATTTAGTAATAGTTAATATTAATTGTATATTTTTCATTTTAATATTATAACGGTAAATTCATAAACAAAAATTGCCAAGCATTATTATGATTTATTGAATTTCTATAACTTGTTGGTCTAAAGACCTTGACCAAATGCCCTTACTCAAGGATTCGGTAACATTCCAAAAATACATTTTTAAATTTGTCTGGCAGTTGCAAAGATTAGCGCGCTCATCCAAACAGTCTTTAGCTTTATTATATTTGGTTAAGATAAACCGCAATCTCTACTATTTGTTCAGTTTTTTACCGTTTTGAAGATATTTTTTGTACTATCTGTATTACAAAAGCACTTACTGTTATCTTTTTAAGCAATTAAGTCTGAAAAGCCCTGATTACTTTGTTAGCCCAGTCTGAAGTGCAAATGAATATAATATTTAACGGGGAAATAGAAATGGTGGATTTTTTTAAGGGGGGAATATCATTGAATGACTTCTCTTGTCTGGGTGAGACGGAAGGGAGTGTCAGACTCTAACTGACTAAAAACCACACCGTTCCTTCTCCTGCACGTCGAGCCGGAGACCCGGTAAACCGTTAGGTTTTCCGAGGATATAATATTGCTAACATTGTTAAAGATTCTCCATTTTATGGTGTCGTCATTTCAAAATCCTGATTGCTATTGAATGCGAGTGACGAGTTATCGTTCAATTTGGAAAACCAACTGTCCAGTGTTCACTGCTGGACTGAGAGGCGAGAGGCCTAACCAACCTAATCAACCTTCATCTAGCTAATTAAATTTTTTTTGCTACAACAAAATTTTGTATTTTTTTCTTTTTTTAATAAAACGTTCTTCTACAATAGGATTTTCTCCTGTATCGTGCGTGCGTTATTTACAAACATACAAGTTCACATACACATGACACCCAGTTCCGAAATAACAATTTATGAAACACAAAAAGAGTGCTCCGTGCGATAATCGAACCTGCGGTACGTTACGAGGCAGCCGGTTACCCAACCACCATACGAAACGTGCCATCAAAATGTTAAAGATTAGCTTTAATTTGATAGTTAACTGCGATGAATTTATTGTCAAAATTCAAGTTGTCGCAGAAATTAGATTGATCTAGAGAAATAATGTGCATTGCGTGTTGAATGAAAAAATTATAAGACTGAACAAACTCCTAAGTTCAAACACCATGACCTAAGCCCACCGTGGTCTGATGGGACGAGAGATAATATTTATGAGTGACGTCATATCGACGAGCATTTGTTATCTGGGTTAAATAGCTGCAAGGACAGTTATGGATGAGGTACTTACCTACTTTTTATTGAAAAGACCTGCATTCCCGCCCGAAGTTTTTTATTTATTTATTTATTTATAAACTATGTACATACTACTATCATAACAGGAGCTAATACCTAATGCAATAGTTAATATCTGATTTGAATCAACTCTTTGGGAATCGATTTTTGACATCACTTATTCTACAGATTTTCTGTCATGAAAATAGATCGATTTAGAAATGTGTGATTAAAATCGATGACTAATTTACGGTCACAAAATAACTGACTATCAATTTTATTAATTAAAATAAATAATTGATTTAGGAGATACATAACATCACAGTAGGCAGAGGTGCACACAGAAGTAACACTCACTTTTCACTATTTATGTTATGAGTCCCATGTAATAGGGGGTGGGCCTATTGCCATATACCGGGCGCAATTCCAGACTCCGTGCTACTACTGAGATTTTTTTTAAATCGAGTAATACTTTGCCCGACCCTGGAATCGAACCCGAAGCCCCTAGCCCTAGGCAGTCGCACTTGCGACCACTCGGCCAACGAGGTGATAATCCAATGGATTTTCTTTTCAATATTTTGTTACCACGGTTGTGACTTTTGCTTATTCCAATCTTTTTGAAATTTTAGAAAACGACTTTTCGAAACCCTTACAGATACTATAAAATCTGCAAGTTTTCTTGGCCTTACCTCTAGCATCCTTGTCCCGTGTCCTTCAAACTTCCATCATTCATTGCACTGGGTATCCCATCCGTTTCTCAAACCGGTTAAACTCCATGGAGTTCCTGTAACCCTTTTTGTTTCTGCGAATTTGTAGCCCACCATGTTTTACCGTTAATGGCCTTTAAGACAGTCAGTTTGTTGTATATGTTTATGTTTAAGTTTGAATTTAAAGTTAGTTACTGGTTTGTCAAAATATGGTTGTTAGTGTAATAGTCAAGGGATAATTGTGGCATTGGACTCCTAGGTATGTTTCTGGATTTTTAATTTTTTCAGTTTTTTATTAAATTTACCGGTAAATAGGTAAAAAGGTCAGACTAGGAGAAAATGCCTGCGGCATTTAGTTCATCTTATGTACACTTTGTGTATGAAGCTTAACTCGTCGAGTACCGTCATTATAGACACAATTATAGAACAATAGTTTGCGATCACAGGTGACCGCTTGGTGTTTGACAGTTTAAATAAATAAATGAGCAAACCAGAGAGAGCATCACCTGATGGTAAGCAATAATGGCGTCGCCCATATCGCAAGCGTTGTTTCACATCGTTTTTCTGTGAGGTCGTGGCATCACTCCGAACAAGCCGGCCCATTCGTGCCGGAGCATGGCTCTCCCACACTTCAATACATAGTATAAAACAAAGTCGCTTTCGCTGTATGTCCGTATGTATGCTTAGATCTTTAAAACTACGCAACGGATTTTGATGCGGTTTTTTTTAATAGATAGAGTGATTCTTAAGGAAGGTTTGTATGTATAATACATGCATATTGCACCCGTGCGAAGCCGGGGCGGGTCGCTAGTAAATAATAAAATGAAGCTTGGAATTGTGCCAGGCATTCAATAAAAATTGTTTCCATGCTATAATGTAGCTAAAAATAATAATTATCATTGAGCAAACTTATCCTGACATTGAATTGGACATATTTTGTATTGTAAAGCTTTCTTATGCCTATAATATAAGGCCTCGGATCGATAAATAGACCTGTGTATGTGGTTATATATCTTTATGTGGATATAATAACTAGTCGATGAACAGTTTATTATATTTTCATGTATATTTTCCTGTTCCATCAGCCATCTTATTGCAATCTTGTAAAGTAAACGGGGTCGGCCTTGCGGTCTGCCCCGGTGCATCGAAACATAATACTGTGATGTCATGGCTCCGACAGGGAGTTTACCTGAGTAATAAATATTTGTATTGGAAATAAATTGGTTTATAAAATAGGTTGTGGTATTAATGTGATTAATTTATAGTTATCCAAATTATTTTGTATACAGCATAATTGTTGGAGAGCCATGCTTCAGCACGAATGGGCCGACTCGACCGGAGTGATACCACGCCTCACAGAAAACCGACGTGAAGCAACGCTTGCGTTGTGTTTCGTCGTGTGAGTGAGGTTACAGGCCCAATTACCCTCCCGTTCCCCAATCTCCCTAATCCCTGAATCCCCAACGATTCTCACTCCTAATCCACAAAATTCCGGCAACGCACTTGTAACGCCTCTGGTGTTCCAGGTGTCCATGGGCGACGGTGATTGCTTACCATCAGGTGATCCATCTGCCAGTTTACCAGCTTATGCCATAAATAAATGCAGGAAAGAAAATGAAGATTGATTCAATAAAGAGACAACTATTGTTAAACTAAAATGTATGTTTTTTTTATCAAAGCCGAATCGTTTGTAAGTACCTAACTGTCGGCTCAGTAGCCAACCAACTCTCTGTACTAAAGAAGCAGAAGAAAGAAACACGTTAGAAACAAGTGTAGGTACTTACATGCACAGATTATAGTGTTAGTTTATAAATAGATACTAATGAGTAAATATTCATGTTTTAAGTCTGCGGTGAAATGGGACCAGTTCAGCATGTGCAAGACTAGGGCCTTGCGCTGGTATTCTACTGGCCCCTTAAGTGATTCGTTGACGAACAAACCATCAATCGCTGTGAGAGTGTTGGTGTCAATATCTGTAATTTTGGATTGTAAATTTTATTTTATTTATTTATTCATTTAACTCGTCGAGTACCGTCATTATAGACACAATTATAGAACAATAGGTTGCGGTCACCGGTGACCGCTTGGTGTTTGACAGTTTAATGCATTAACTACTACCATTACCGATACATTCCAATACGAT